GCCCAATCAGCACACGCACGACATCGAACACCCTGGATCGCACTTGTGCGCACATGTGCCCAGCACATCCAAAACCTACTCATCTCTGCTCTCGAAGTCGCTCCCCTCCTTGCTTTCGTAATCCTCCTCTTGTACCTCCTCTATAATCTGAAAGCCCAAGGGAGCTCCACTGAAGGGGGGGATCAAGATTCACGCGCCCTAAAGCAAAGCGCTTGCAGTGCGCGTGGTCCAAAAAATGGTACCTGTCGACGTGTGTTTTCGAATTTTGGGGCTGCGAATTTGATGCGGTGATGTTTTCGCCGTTGCACAAATATCCCAACGCAGTTACAATCTTGCAGACGCGTCAATATCATTTGGAGTGTGTGTTGTTTTGCGCTGCCTGAACTTTATTGAGTTATGTTGCGCGCTATGGAAACGTGACCCAAAAAAGCTTGCGAAACCACCCCCAGGGAGTTGAATTCAAGACGACGTTTGTAAACGCTCTTCAAATCTCACGTGGTGATATGTCCACATGCTTGGTTTGGTGATGGTAGAGGATGACGGGGAGGCTCGTTGCTTTCAAAATCGAAGCCTGATTTTAGGGCGTTTCCCGAACAAGGCCGACCACCTTGAAACAATTATCCCTGGGTGATTGATGGTTGTGGACATTACTAACCGAGAATGGAGAAATTCGAGGATACTATGTACATGTATCCCGGCATCATCGAGTCACCGGTCGTCGCAAAACGTGGCAATGGTTTAGTCTGGACGAGCACAGCGACAAGTTCCAGCGCGACTCTGGGACGTCAAGTACCTTGCCGGTGCCCCCCCCGCCGCCTTCGCCGACGGCGAGACCGCCAGAGAAGGGCCAGGGCAAGAGTGAACCAAGTGGCTGGAGCTCGAGCAGAAGAGAGGACAGCTCCTCCAAGGGCCAGAACCAGTTGCGCCGGAGCAACAGCGATCCCTGGGATGAGTCTCGTGAGTGGAGATGTCGATGGAGAAGGCGATGCTGCGCAATGGAACCAGTGCGACAAAGTCGATACTGGTCCGCACTACTTCGTGGAGCGGGTGCACCAGGTGTGCATGGGCATTGAGGCCTGAGCTGGAAATATTAGCTCAGGCGGGGAACGTCGGGCTTCTTCGGCCTTCCGCCCCCTGGCAACCACCGTCGAGCGGTAAAATGCTTTTTTGGGGGTGGCTGTACATATGCACAGGCCAGGTGGGTTGGAGGTCGGGGCGGCTCTACGGATCCCGCCGCGGGGGGAGTCAATGCACCACTTCCGCACCATCATTATTTCGCCCTGCCTGCTCTCTCTCCTTGCACGCGCAGTCCGTCTGCTGTGTTGGCTGGCTTCTTCTGCTCCCGCAGCTATACAATTTGGCTCCTAGGGAAACGGAAAAGGAGCGAGCCTGCGGCGCGCGCGCGTGCGTCGGCCAGCGGGCCGGCCTCCTCCCTTGATTGTTACATCAGTTTATGTTTGACGGCACTATCCCTTGTGAACATGTCATCTGCGGAGCTCACTGACCAGGTGATATCATCGGAACATTTTGCAGGGATTACGAATATCCAGGCAAAAGACTATTAGCGCTGCCCCCCCAAAAGGCCAACACGGGGCCCAAACGCTGGTGAAACCAATGATTCTGGCTTCCTCGCCGAGGCCGTTGCGGACGCTCCAACTATCCGCGACCGCGCCCGTCCAGGTTCATGGGAGGTAAAGGGGAAGGGTCAACCTTTCCCCGAAGAAGAAGAGGGAGGGGTGGAAGAGGAAACGTCCTAAACCACCTATGCCCAGAGGGCTGGTGGGACTATGTGATGCAAGCTACGAAGCGCCAGTGACGCGGTGTAAGTTATGTGGTGAAAACCACATAATCGGAAGCTGTGCCGTGTAAACTTTGTGATGCTAAACATGTGGTGGGAGCTATGTGGCGCAAACCCACTCTGCTGAACTTGAAGTCTTCACATCCACTGCTCGCGCAAACATCCCACCCACCCACCCGCAACTTGGTTTGCAAAACCTCCTAAAACCGACTGCGACGACACCGACGACAACGACTACGACGACACCGACGACGTCTCCGACGACTTCGACGACGACAACGACGCCGACGACGACGAAGACGACGACGACGCCAACGAAGGCGACGACGAGGGAGGAGGAAGGACGACGACGGCGACAACGACGACAACGACGACAACGACGACAACGACGATGGGAGGGAGGACGGCGACGACGCGAGCGACGAAGGAGGAAGGACGGCGACGCCGACGACGACAACGACGAGGGAGGAGGGAAGACGACGACGACAACGACGACGACGACGACGGCGACGAAATAGGAGGGACGACGACGAGACGCCGACGATTGACGACGACGACGAGGGAGGAGGAGGAAGGACGACCACGGCGACAAAGACGACGGAAACGACCACGACGCCAAAGAGGACGACGACGACGAACACGAGGAAAGACAGACGACGACGTAGGCGACGACGACGACGACTCGGGAGGAGGGAGGACGGCGACGACGACGACGACGACGCAAGAGCGCGCGCGCACGCTTTTGTTGAAAATCCGTGTTGCGAAACCTTAGGTGTCGTATGTTTTTTGGACGCGATTTTTGAAATCCTTCCGAAACCGATGGGTTTTGAAGGTTTTCGGCATACGCGCGCGACGACGCGCGCGTCTGCTTTTCGTCCCGTTCTTTGCAGAGGATTCCCGCGACGGCACACGCGCAAGGGCGTTCGACAGATTTCGACATGCGCGCGCGAAGCCCGTTCAATCGCATGTTGTGAAAATATTGAAAGGAATATTGTTTTCTTAAGATTTCGCAAGAGCTCGCGCAGAAGTTGTTTTAGCAAAGCAGTGTTGCGAAACCCTGTGTTTTTGGATGGTTTTTGGAAACTCGATAGCGAACTCCTTTCGGCACCGAGGGTTTTTGAAAGATTTTGGCATGCGTGCGCGCCGACGCGCGCGTGTGCACTTCGTCCCGTTGTTTTGCAAGGGATTTGTGACAAAGTGTTATGTTAGAACAACAAATGTCACCGCATAGTGTTTCTTACAAGGGAACTTCAGGGGGGGATACCGGTTGGCATTTGACATTGTGATTTCATATGTATGATGGACATGCGGTCAGAATCATATTTGATTTACATACCCGAAAGGTAAGGCGATACTTTCGGGGGGATAGATCCTATTGTGTTTTTAGAAAAGGAGAATCCACATATTCGCAAGCAACACGCTGTAGGCTACGTTGTGCAGAATCTGTGGCGGAAGGTACATGGTGCAAACCCGCATCTTCTCGCCCTCGGTCACAAGCAGCCTGCTGCAAGCCGGTGTTGGCCCAGTGATTGGCGCTAGAAAAGAAAAATCCCCCGAGGTTCACTATCTTTGGAACCGTGATCCTAACGCGACACCGATATCAGGAGAAGGGTCGGAAAACTAGCGCATGTCGGAGAAAGAATGCATGCTGCTGCCTCCCGGCCACATACATGCGGTTGCGCCCCAGGCACATACATAATCGCTTTTGGAGGCGCCGCGGGGAGGCCGCAAAAGAAGGATGGCCGCGCGAAAGCCAAACGAATTCAATATTTGGATAGCAATTGCAATCGACATCGACAACTTTGGGACACTCCCCCGCGCCCCATGTAGTTCCAATTGCAGGATTCCTTGCGTGGGGACCGCCTCGTGTCATCCACCCAGTTGATCTGACTCTACTCAGGTCAATGGGTGAAGACTAGTTTCGGATGGAGACTGGTTTGGGATGTTTCGCGTGAAACATCCCCAGAATTTGCCTGGTTTGGCCTCCTGTTTGGCCTTGTTCTGCTTGGCCTGGCCTGGTTTTGCCAGGCGCCCCGCCTGAAGCATCCTCAGAATTTGCCCAGCTTGGCCTGGTTTGAGGCCCGTTTCGCATGAGACGTCTTCACGATTTGTTTGACGAGTCTTGGTTATGTCGTCGCGCTCTGCCAGGTCTGGTTTTGTTCCTGCGCGGTTTCGCTGGAGGCGTGCTCACAATTTGCTTGGGTTGTCTTGGTTTCGGCGCGGTTTTTGCTTGATACGTCCTCCCAATTTGCCTGGTTTTTGCTCCGATGCGGTTTCGCCTGAGGCGTGCTTACGATGTCCCTTCTTGGCCCTGTTTGGGCACGGTGTCGACAGACGTTCTCTCGATTTGCCTGGTTTGGCTGCGGTTTCGCTTGGAACGTCCTCAGAATATCTTCGATGTGTTCTGATATGGATGGGCACTTCGGTGCGGCAGCTTACGACGTAGGGTTTAAAGGGTGAGAGGTCAGAGGAAGAGGGAGGGGCACGCTCAAGCCTTTTCGGCTCGGCAACGCGCCGAGCCCCCTCCTCTCTTCGAAGGGAGAAGGTACCCTTCGGGTTCCACAGGCGCGGCGGCATGGTGCCGGCTGCGCTGCTCTCGGTCCAGGCGATGGCCGCCGCGTTGCGTTGGGGCGCGCAGAGCAGCGCATGGTGCACCACCATGCCGCAAATCGGAGGAGACGATCCGCTGACAAAGGTCGTGGCGCACGGCGTCGCGTGCTGCCAACTACGAGCGCACCCGATGGACACAGCGAGTACTCTACTGGCAGCTGGATGCCCACTCATGCCAACGTGGGCAACGACAACGTGGCGGCCAACATCAATGGCGACGGCTTAACAACCGTCCTTCGCTAACGCAGATTCGACCTCCACTCATCTCCCACACCTGACAATACGGGGGATTACCATCTGAACTCACATGCGCTCGAAAGGCCCAACACGCCATCTTTTGGTCTACGCTCGAGTACACTTGCAGTGACAGAACACATCGTCAGTGACGAGCATACCCACCCAGAGATACGACACGACCCAATGGACTGCAAGGCCGCCCTTCCTCCTCCTCTCGCCCCTCCTCCGATGATGCTGCTTTCGCTGCTGATGCACGGGGACGTGCGCCCCCTCGGTGAGTGTCCCCCCCCCCCTTCCGCCCCAGTTTGGGGGGGGCTGCGGAACCGCGGGGCGCCCCGCGCCCGCGCGGGGGGCCATGCCGGCGGCGCTGCCCGCGTCGGCGCGCAGCGCGCGCCTGGGCAGGGCGGCGCGAGGCGCGCGCTTGGGCGGGACGTTGCCGGCGGCCGCCAGGCCGCCGAAAGGGGGGGGTCGTCGTCGTCGTCGTCGTCGTCGTCGTCGTCGTCGTCGTCGTCGTCATCGTCGTCGTCGTCGACGTCGACGTGGATGGGGAGGGGCTTATCATGAGGGCGCCCTCTGCCCATTACAATCGCTCCTTCATTGTTGGCAGGGGCCCCACAAGCGGCCCACCCCGCCCAGGTGAGTCTTGTTTCGCCGATTCCACCCCTGGGCGGCGCCCCCCCTGTCGTCGCCCCGTCTGCACCGCAGCGGGCGCGCAACCCGCCTTCGGCGTCCCCGCTGCCTCTGTCCTCGCCAGCGTCGTCGTTGCTGGTCCTCGTCCGTCCTCCTCGCCCTCCTCCCTGCCTGAGATCCCCGATAGCGCCGAGGCGACGCACTGCCTCGGGCCTCCGCTTTTCAGGGCAGAGCGGCTCGTCTCCGAGAGTGTTGGCATGGAGCTCGTCACCGTCGACAGCTCCGTGCCCGTGTCGCCCTCCCTGGCACTCGGCCTCCAGGAGTCCTCTCCCGGAGCACGGCCCGCCCAGAATCGCGGGAGTGCGCCCGGGCCGCGACGGCGAGGGGGGCCAAAGAGGGCGAGCGGCGCCGATGGCGACGACGTTATTCTCCCCCTGCACCACGAGGCGCAGGAGGAGGAGGAGGAGGAGGAGGAGGAGGAGGAGGAGGAGGAGGAGAAGAAGAACAACCGCGGGGGGACGGCGCCGATGGCGATGAAGTCTATCTCCTCCTCCCACTGCGCGAGGAGGAGGAGGACGAGGAGGAGGACGAGGAGGAGGAGGAGGAGGAGGAGGAGGAGGAGGAGGAGGAGAGGTGATGCAGGAGGGCCTCTCGTCGAGGGTGCACAGGGGGAGGACGGCGCCGGGCAGCAACAGGCGGCAACGTGGCGAGTCCTCGACAAACAGCCGAGGCGGCAACGAATGGCAAAGTGGCGAAAGCCTAACAGACCAACCAATTCCTCACTGAAAGAGGTGAGAACTCCTGAGTGCAAACGCTGTTTGAGGAGTTTTGCCAATCAAAGGCGCTCCGATCGACAAATTGATTTTACAAACCGAGATCTGGAAGCCCTGTGCGCAAAAAAACGTATGCGGCAGAACAGGGGGCCCGCTTGGACATCATCTGGGGAGAGGAGGGAGTGGCATCCAATGGAGTAGTTGAAGGGGGGACGACGTCCGCGAGGAGAAGGACGACGACGTCCAGGACGACCACGATGACGGGGGTCGCTTCCGCCGCAGGAGGCGCCTGGCCGTGGCCGCCCTCGTCCCGGCGGTCGCGCTCCTCGCGGCCGCGCCAGCGCCTGGCCGACTGGGCTGCGGCGAGGCGCCACCCCCCGGGCGCGCCCACGAAAGGAGCGCGGGCCCTTCGAGGGAGCGCGGCGCCCTCTTGCAGAGGCCGCCGCAGCCTCGGGAGCCCGAGGCTGCGGCGGGCCTCTGCAAGAGGCCTCCTCGTTGCCACGACCAGGCCCGCCCCGGAAATCGGGCCAGGATGGACCGCAGGAGGGTCGGGGGCGGCAGAGAGGGGGGTGATGACTAGGGGGGGGGATATCATGGCGGGGGCCATAATATTTCTCCAGATTGCATGGCGCCTTCTCTGATTTCATTACGTCCCTGGCCCCTCCCCCCAAGGACCGCGAACATGCCGCCGGCCATGATTTGCGCCCCCCCCTCTTGGACGCCCCCTTTGCGGGAGCAACGATAGGGGGGGATAGGCATAGGGGGGTGCATCGACCCCCAGTCGCCCACAGATCGCCCATAGGGGCCCGACAGCCCCAACCTGCCCAGGAAGGTGCGGATTTACTGTCGGAGGCCTACCGCCGATCTATCGGCGATGTATCGCCGATTCCAGGTCGATGCATCCCCCCCTATCCCTATTCCCCCCCTATCGTTGCCCCTCAGGGAAGGGCCCGGGGCAGCTTTGCATCGGAGTTGGGCCAGGCGGAAGGGCCGCCGTTGTCTCAACTGGCCCTCCTCCGGATGAAGGAAGCGGGCCCTGAGGGAAGCGGGTCCTTCCTGGACTCGATCCTGCGCTTCACGTCGTGATGACGTGGGCACCAGTTTCTGCCACCGCATGGATCGCTGAGCCTGGGAGGACCTTCCGCCGCTCGACAGCCATATCCACAAGCTCGGGGCCCAGGTGGGTCCTTACCACCTGCTGGCGCCACTGCGGGTCAGACTTCGGAAGACGTGGCGACGGCCTGGAAGTTGCAGGACGTCTGCAGCCACGCGAACCCCAGAGGGGCCGCCCACCGCGCGTACGTGCGCTCTCTGTGGTTCACGTCACGTCTGGATGACGCGGTCGCCGGTGGTCTGACGCCGCGCTGGTCGCGCAGCCTGCAAGAGTCGCCCCACTTTTTGCCAGTGGAGATCGTCCAGGACTCGGGAGTATGGACGCGTGTCGGGAAGGAACGGGTCCTGACTCCCTGGGCTTCCCCTCCTGGACAGAGTCTTCACCGGTGCCGATGTTCGACGGTCTCCAGGCCTTAGGAGGGCCTCCCGGAGCCCGAAGACGGCGAAGAATTCCAGGACCCGTTTTCCCTCGAGGGCCCGTTTCCTTCCTGCTAACCCCCACGCCCAGCTCCGTGCGGGGAGCAAGAAGTTAATGATGCGAGTTCCAAGGTTTCCAAGATCCAAGGCTCTCTGTTGTTCGCCCTGGGATCCAGGAGCGAAGGCCGCTGGATACTCCACTATCGCTGGGACGCACTGTCTTCAGGGGTGGAAAAAACACGCAGACACAATTAATCGTCGATTCCCAGGAAAACATGGGAGAATATGGACAATGGGGGGGAAGACGAAAACCCAGAACTCACAGGAAAAGGGGGGAAATCCTGGGATTCGTGTGTGTGTGTGTTTATTTGTGCGTCCCAGGGCCCCTTTCTGTCTGCCAGTCGCATAACGACAGCGTTCTCGTCCTGTCCTCCGGCGGCTCGACGAGGAGGCACGACAGGCTCGTGCTGCGCGTGCACGCGGCAGCGACCCTGGCGCGGGAGTCCAGGTGGAGCGCCGCCAGTGTCAAGTCGGGCCCGTCCATCTGCAGGAGGAATATCCAGAAGCAGAAAGAAAAGCCTGGGGATGATCTTTGTAGTATTTGTTCGACTGTGTTGGGTTTTTTGCTTGTTTGTATTATTTTTCAATTTTTCGCCCAGCATCCGCCTGTAGGGGGGCATGCCCGACCTAACGCCAGAGGCCAGGAATCGGTCAGTATCGAACGACCTGCGCTTTCGGAAAGCCGCGATCGCTCAAGGTTGAACGGCCGCGCAAGGTCAGAAACCAACGCCGAAGGCGCCACGACACGGGCCCGGCGCGGCCCTAGCCCCTAGACGTCCACCGCTTTCGAATGCGGTAAGCTTAATTCGGGAATAGCCAGGACCCCGGTTGAGGAGAGCCGGCCAGTGATAGAGACCAACATCCATACAAGAGGAGCGATAATGGCGCTTGTGCTCGCGTGGGGGCGCGTTCTCGGTATGCACATTGGTCGACGTCTTCCAGACAAGATCAAGCGCCTCCCCGTCTGTTCCCCTCGTCCTCGCCGGCCTCGTCTGACATTTCATCCTCTTCTCAACTGTCCGTAAGAAAATGGTGTGCAAGCTCTGTGGTCACCCAGCTTCGCTGGATGACCACAGAGCTTGCGCACCATCGTGTTGCCAGCGCAATGTCCTTAAAGGACGTTCAAGTGTTGTCGCGTGCAGTCGACGCCGGTCGCATCGGGAAACCCGCGAGTGAACCACATGCTTGACGGAACTTAGAAAACAAAAGTTCCGTCAAGGGTGTAGTTCATTCGACAGCCCCCCGGCAGGCGCCCGGGATGTCGGGGAAAGCCCTACAGCTTTCATGGGACCCCCCAGGAGGGAGGCGCAGGTCAACCCAGAACACTCGCAGACAGCAGTTCCAGCCGGTGATTCTTCTCCAGGATGCCGCTGGAGCTGGCGCGCGGTACTCGAGGGGGACTGGGCCTGAATCACCAAATCAGGTTTGCCGTACCCTCCACCTCCACCTTCCATACATTCCGCCCTCCTCGGAAGGCGCGGAGGGTGATGCATCGAAACTAGTTAATTGAAAGCCTCAGGGAGCTCAAGACAACTCGCCGCTTCGCGAAACGCAAGAGTATGGAAGGTCAGCGCGGAAGGCCTGGAAGAGTGATCAGGGCGAAGGTAATTAGCCTGTATTTTATCGGGTGACGGCGAGTTCTGGTTGGTGGGTTGGGCCGGGGGCCCTTTCCGGCACCCGGCCGCCGCCCCGCCGGGGGCTCGTCGGGGGGCCGCAGCCGGGGTCGCTGCGCGGTGCTGGGCGGCGGGGCTGCGGGCTCCCAGTGCCCAGAGGCGACGATAGGGGCGAATAGCCCAGGGGAGAGCAACCCAGAGATCCAACGTACTGATACAATCAAGACGGAGGTTTCTCGCACAGTTCGGCCCTTGGATGCCCTCGCCGGGCCTCGGGACCGTCAAAAAACGACTCAGGATGACGCGACCGAGAAACCCCACATACTTATCCGTAAGGGCTTCGCCCCCTGCCGCCGGCCCCCTCTCTCGGAGAATGGGCCATGGAAGAGCTAAGTCATGAGGCCTTGGCGCTGTCGTGAAGCAGTATCGAAACTTCATGCGAAGCCGAGTCGCAATCAGCAAAACCAACTGATCACAAGAGGGGTTACCACACCTGGCGATTGGTAAGACGTGTATGGTTTAAGGGCTTGGTTACCACACCTTGCGATTAAAGGGCCGAGGGAGTTCTCGCAGTTTGGGTTACCACGCCTTGCGATGGATGTGCGTGATGGGTTCGAATTTCAGAAATGTGGCAAATCCCCTGTGTTTTTGGACCCTGACCCCGCGGATCTGCGTGAGGGGTGGCACCGAATTTCAGAAATGTGGCAAATCCCTGTGTTTTTGGACCCTGACCCCGCGGATCTGCGTGAGGGGTGGCACCGAATTTCAGAAATGTGGCAAATCCCCTGTGTTTTTGGACCCTGACCCCGCGGATCTGCGTGAGGGGTGGCACCGAATTTCAGAAATGTGGCAAATCTCCATGTGTTTTTGGACCCTGACCCCGCGGATCTGCGTGAGGGGTGGCACCGAATTTCAGAAATGTGGCAAATCCCCTGTGTTTTTGGACCCTGACCCCGCGGATCTGCGTGAGGGGTGGCACCGAATTTCAGAAATGTGGCAAATCCCTGTGTTTTTGGACCCTGACCCCGCGGATCTGCGTGAGGGGTGGCACCGAATTTCAGAAATGTGGCAAATCCCTTGTGTTTTTGGACCCTGACCCCGCGGATCTGCGTGAGGGGTGGCACCGAATTTCAGAAATGTGGCAAATCCCATGTGTTTTTGCACCCTGACCCCGCGGATCTGCGTGAGGGGTGGCACCGAATTTCAGAAATGTGGCAAATCCCCTGTGTTTTTGGACCCTGACCCCGCGGATCTGCGTGAGGGGTGGCACCGAATTTCAGAAATGTGGCAAATCTCATGTGTTTTTGGACCCTGACCCCGCGGATCTGCGTGAGGGGTGGCACCGAATTTCAGAAATGTGGCAAATCCCATGTGTTTTTGCACCCTGACCCCGCGGATCTGCGCGAGGGGTGGCACCGAATTTCAGAAATGTGGCAAATCTCCTGTGTTTTTTGGACCCTGACCCCGCGGATCTGCGTGAGGGGTGTCGATTTCGAGCCCCCCCAGTAATTCAGACAACGCGCCCAGGGGACGCTGGAAAATCTTGTTTGGGCCTCCCCCCCCTCGCGCGGTCAATCAACTAGTTACAGTAACCAGCAAGAAGTCAACTAGTTACAGTAACCAGCAAGAAGCAGAACTGTAACACTGGAAACTAGAAACTACAACTGGTACAGGAAACTGCGAATCACGCGCCTCGCAGCCTGGTGGCCCCACAATGGGGGCCGGCGGATATTATGGCTGGAGTGATGGTAGCTGAAGTGCATAGCGGCCACGGTGAGCGACCACCCCCTGCGCACCCCGTATGTTATCGAGAAAATGCCACGCCTGCTATGCACTGGACGACCGCTGTGCATAGCGGCCGCGATGGGGGGCCACCCCCTGCGCACCCCTTATGGTGTCGAGAAAGTGCCACGCCTGCTATGCCTGGACGACCGTCGTGCATAGCGGCCGAGCTCAGGGACCACCCCTCTGCGCACCCCCTGTGGTGTCGAGGAAGTGCCACGCCTGCTGTACCTGGACGACCGTCGTGCATAGCGGCCGCGCTCAGGGACCACCCCCTGCGCACCCCCTGTGGTGTCGAGAAAGTGCCACGCCTGCTATGCCTGGACGACCGTCGCGCATAGCGGCCGAGCTCAGGGACCACCCCCTGCGCACCCCCTCTTGTGTCGAGAAGGTGCCACGCCTGCTGTACCTGGACGACCGTCGTGCATAGCGGCCGCGCTCAGGGACCACCCCCTGCACACTCCCTTATGGTGTCGAGAAAGTACCACGCCTGCTATGCCTGGACGACCGTCGTGCATAGCGGCCGAGCTCAGGGACCACCCCCTGCGCACCCCCTATGGTGTAGAGAAAAGGCCACGCTTGCTACGCCTGGACGACCATCGTGCATAGCGGCCGAGCTCAGGGACCACCCCCTGCGCACCCCTTCTGGTGTCGAGAAAGTGCCACGCCTGCTGTGCCTGGACGACCGTCGTGCATAGCGGCCGCGCTCAGGGACCACCCCCTGCGCACCCCTTCTGGTGTCGAGAAAGTGCCACGCCTGCTGTGCCTGGACGACCGTCGTGCATAGCGGCCGCGCTCAGGGACCACCCCTTGCGCACCCCCTGTGTTGCCGAGAAACTGCCACGTTTGCTGTACCTGGACGACCGTCGTGCATAGCGGCCGCGGTGAGAGACCACCCCCTGCGCACCCCCTTCTGGTGTCGAGCAATTGCCACGCCTGCTGTGCTTGGACGACTGTCGTGCATAGCGGCCGCGCTCAGGGACCACCCCTCTGCGCACCTCCTTCTGGTGTCGAGAGAGTGTCACGCCTGCTGTGCCTGGACAACAACCGTCGTGCATAGCGGCCACGGTGAGAGACTATTCCCTGCGCGCCCCCTGTGGTGTCGAGAAAATGCCACGCCTGCTATGCCTGGACGACCGTCGTGCGTAGCGGCCGAGCTCAAGGACCACCCCCAAAGTGCCACGCCTGCTGTGTGTGTGGACGACCGTCGTGCATAGCGGCCGCGGTGACAGACCACCCCCTGCGCACCCCCTTCTGGTGTCGAGCAATTGCCACGCCTGCTGTGCCTGGACGACCGTCGCGCATAGCGGCCGAGCTCAGGGACCACCCCCTGCGCACCCCCTGTGGTGTCGAGGAAATGCCACGCCTGCTGTGCCTGGACGACCGTCGCGCATAGCGGCCGAGCTCAGGGACCACCCCTTTGCGCACCCCCTGTGGTGTCGAGAAAGTGCCACGCCTGCTGTGCCTGGACGACCGTCGCGCATAGCGGCCGCGCTAAGGGACCAACCCCTGCGCACCCCCTTCTGGTGTCGAGAAAGTGCCACGCCTGCTGTGCCTGGACGACCGTCGCGCATAGCGGCCGAGCTCAGGGACCACCCCTCTGTGTCGAGAAAGTGCCACGCATGCTGTGCCTGGACGACCGTCGTGCATATCGGCCGCGTTCAGGGACCATCCCCTGCGCACCCCCCTCCTGCCATCCCCTGCGAATCCTACACGCACGTCATGTATATGGCATGTTCTGTGCCTGTGCATGATGCGTGTGCGACAATATCGGGACGTGTCTCATGTGTGTGCCCACTATGTGGCGCACGCGCCTCAATGGACGCTGCATTGAACACGCCAGGCGCGCACTAGCGTTGTATGGTGTGTGTGTGAATGTGTTGTGTGCGAGTGTGTGCATGCGTGCGGCTGTATGTAGACGCATGCGTTAAGCGCGGGTGAGGAGGGGAAGGAGGAGAGAGGAGGGGAGTGGGGGTGTGACGACGTGTGTTTCAATGAGGGTAATGTATGATGCGTGTACGGCTGTTTGTGGACGTGCGTATCATGTGGATGCCGGTATGTGGCGCATACGTCTTGCATGTCCGTGTGCAAGCGAGAAGAAGAAGGGGAGGGGGGAGGTGTGAGACGCGGGTGCGGCGCGGCAGGGAAGAAAACCAAACCCCACGAAACATGTGGGGAATGAGAAACCAGTCCTGGGGAATGGGTCGAGACTCGAGACTTCTGGGGACCGCGTATTGAAAAAGTCACGACGTCGGATCTCTGGGAATACATGTATCCTGGGGCGCCGAAGATCTATGTCTTCGACAAGGCCCTTGGGCGAATACGGGCTATTCGCCCTTCTCGTCGCCGCCGATGGGCGGCGGGGCTGCCGGCTCCCGGTGTCCGGTTCCGATTCCCGCAAGACTTGTTCTGTTCGGGTCCTGGAGCCCCCTTGGGGGCCCCTCGGGCCCCCGAGTTTTCGGCCTCGATCCACGCGCTCTCGTGGGAACCCAGGACACAGCCACCCGCCGCAATCGGTTGTAAGCACCCACGAATTCTTCGCGATTTGGGGCGCCCTGGAAACTGATCCTTCCAGAGCGGGCGCTGATTGGGGAGAATGTTATCTATTTAATCGCTTCGCTCATTCCGCCGTCCCTGGAGCGCTATTTGGGGCCTCTTGGGGCCGTATTGGCGCCTCTTGGGGGCTTTTTGGGAGCGTCTTGGGGCTCCTTGGCGGCGTCTTGGGCTCCCCTGGTGCCTCTTGGGGGGCCCCCTTGGGGCGGGAGGGGGGGTAGTCGATTGTAGCCACCCCCTCGGAGGCCACGATCCTCGTGAGGGGTGGCGAAAAATAGCCGCCCCCTGGGGATCGCCCGGGACCCGGCCGGGACCCAGCCGGGGGTCAGCCGGGGTACTTTTCGTCTGGGGGCCCCCAGGGGCCGCCCCGCGCGCGCGAACTAGAAATATTGTTAGTGTCACCGGAGATCTTAGCACGCCTCTGGCCCGTTGGGCCGGCGAATTCTTGATGTTTCATTGGATTGGGGTTGGGGAGCGAAGCTGGCCCGCAAGCAGTCGAGCAATGCTTTCGAGCTGCGCGGGGGGTGTCCCCCAACACATTTCCAACGAAGTATGGAACCCAGTCCTGTCAACACCCAGATAGCGCTCAATTCAACTCGGGACCATCCCCCTCCGAGGTGAGGAGGCCCGACGACCTCGCTGCGCCGTTGTGTCCCAGCCTGGCCCAAGGCCCGCGAAGGCAATGCTTCTCCCCCGCGGCCGCCCCCCGCCCCCCGGGTATCCGAGGCACGCCCCCCCCTTCCCCCGCCGCGCCCCTGCCCCTGCCCCCCCCGCCCCCTGCCCCCCCGCCCCAGGCCCCCCCGCCCCAGGCCCGTGCCCCTTCTTCCTGACCGGGCACCCGGAGGCCCCGCTCTCCACCTGCCTGCCTGCCGCCCCTCCCCCTCCCCCAGGCTGGCGCCGGCGCCGCGAGCCCGCCGTGCGCTTTCGCGCGGTGGCACCCGTTCCCGACGGGCGACCCTCCGGGATCGGGGGCGAATGGGGGGGAGTTGTCACGGACGGAGGAGGAGGACGAGGAGAAGGAGGAGGAGGAGGAGAAGGAGGACGAGGAGGTGGAGGAGGAGAAGAAGAAACAGGAGGAGGAGGAGGAGGAGGAGGAGGAGGAGGAGGAGGAGGAGGAGGAGGAGGGAGGAGGACGAGGAGGTGGAGGAGGAGAGGAGGAATACTCTACTCAGGTTCGGGGCTAGCCATCGGCACCCTGGGTCGCAGCCCGAACATTGCACGCTCTTGTCCAGGAGGTTAAGGGTAAACCTTAGAAACCCTATTGCAGCGCACAGTGCACACGTGCATACGCAGCCTTGGACACAGCCAGGCAGCAATACTTCGGCGACAGCCACTTTTTCAATACACATCGACGGCGGCACGATTCCAGCCCCAGTGTACTATGCAAGTTCTTTACCACGATGATGGTTTCTCACGTTATCCAGGTTTGGGGCTACCCTACAAAACCCTGGGTAGCAGCCCGGGATTGCCTCTTTTCTTTGCGCACCTCGCACGCTCTATCTCACAGAGGTGCTCTTCTAAGCCTGGTTTACTGTTGTTTATACAGGCAGCTAGACACGCACGGCTGACTTGGACGCCCAACGCGCACCACCCACTCCTATCAATATGGTAATGTGCTACGCCATACTGCATACGCAGCCTCGGACACAGCCAGGCAGCAGCACTTTGGCGACATTACGCCACTTTTTCCGAGGAGTCTGTCACAGCCCCTGCGTGGGCAATCTGCCCATGCAAAACAATTGAATGATTGATCTCAACTTATCCAGGTTTGGGACTACCCTGCAAAACCCTGGGTAGCAGCCCCAGGATTGCCTTCTTTTCAATGCGCACTTCACAGCAGTGGTTTACTGATTTACAGAGGTGGTAGCGGGGGAGGAACTCTCTACTTTATAGGTTCGGGGCTAGCCTACAACACCCTGGGTTGCAGCCCAACCATTGCACGCCATCTTCTCAGAGGTTAGGAGTAAATCTTAAAAGCGTTCTTGCAGCGCGCAGAGTTATAGCAGCACAGCAGCATCCTTTTATTTCTTTCCAGTACACATCGATGGCGGCATGTCCCAGCCCCCCACAGCCACTTTTTCTGTGTGCATTGACGGCGGCACTATTTCAGCCCCAGTTTATTAGCAGTTCCTGTGCAGTAGGATATTCTACCTGACCTGCAATACACCTCTCACCTAGCTACTCTTGGAGGTGGTGGCTTGTTGAGGTGGTATGATTGCGGGGGCTGCGGAGGAGGATCTGTAGCGAAGTCCGGGGATACCCTACAAAACCCTGGGTCGCAGCCCAAAGACTGCAAGCTCTCCTCTTGAAGGTTATGGGTACACATTGAAAGCCTCAGTGCAGCCCACAAATTGCACATTCTCCTTTGAAGGCTAGGGGCGAACCTGTAAAACCCTACTGCAGCACTCACCTTGCGCACTTGGGTCCCCGCATGGGATGATCCCTACGCTGTCCTCAGATGTGGCTGTGGAGGACGCTCTCTTTCGTTTTTTTACATTTTCACTGTCCGCAGCATGTACATATTGAACATTTGCATTATTTACGTTACACGGTCTACTTGTTCGGGTCTCCTGCAATGAGCTACAAGTTGCGTTACCTGGCGGGCGCCTACTATTCTACCTATGCTTGTTTACTGTCTCTCTCTCTCTCTCTCTCTTTACCGCCTAAGCCGCGGCGCCCGCTAGGTACCTTTGCGCCGAGCCATCTGTATTACAATGTTTCTGCAGCACTTCAAGAGCGCAACACGCGTAAGCGCAAGGTCTAGCCAATTCAAAAAGGGAGGAGGAGGAGGAGGAGGGAGAAGGAGGCCACCTGCAGGGGGTGGGTGGCACTATCTTGGCGGAGGGAAAGGAGGGAAGGTGACGTTGTCGGGCCGACGGGCCACCTGCCGGGAGAGAGGGCCCACTCGTAAGACATTGATCGGGCTGTGCGGGTTTTTGTAGGACTGACGCTGGGCCAGCCTGGTGCCGCTCGTTGCGCGTTCCGCTCCCCGGGGGAGGGGAGTCCAGGGCCGATCCAAGACGTCCGCACGGACCTCCGACATTGAATGGTTATGTTTGTGTTTCTTCGAAAGGAACGGGCAGTGGATATCTGGGATCAGTACCTTTTGTTGTTTCATGTTTGGGGCATTCGGGGCTTCTGGCGGCCTCTAGTGGGCCTCCAGAAACTTTGAGAGGAGGAGGAGAAGAAGGAGGAGGAGGAGGAGGAGGAGGGGGAGGAGGAGGCAACAAAAGGGAGAGACAGGAACATTGCAGACAATTGTTGCCAGAAAACGGTCGGCGTGGACCCGAGAGGACGCAAACCATGAAACAAACGGGTGTGGGAATTCTTCCAACACCGTGATTGGCGCTACCTGTCGCGTCCAGACATCCATCCGGGCAGATGGCCTCCTGGCACAAGCCATTACCACCCCCAGACAAAGATCATGGGCTGCCGAGGTGCCCGCTGCGCATGCGCTCCCCGCACCCCCCCACGCAGGGCAAGGGCGCGCAGCCAGGCGGAGGTCTTGTTTGAAGGTTGCACCGCCGGCCGACCGTGGTGAACCGTGTCAGGCTGGACCAGGGACCCCGAGCCCAGGGGGGGAGGCCTGGCGTCGGGGGGCTTCCTTGATCTCGGCCCACCCGGCACAGCACCCGCTCCAGAGACGGACCGCGCGGGTGCTCGCCGACTCTGCTTGCCGCTGGCCAGCACGCGCTGCACCGACCACCCCGAGCGAGGTGCGCCCCAGTATCCCGGATTCCCCCCCCCAAAAAAAGCCCCAATGCCCCCGTTTCCAAGCAGGGGGAGGCGGAGGAGGACAGGGGCGAGGAGGAGGAGGAAGGAGAAGAAGAGGAGGAGAAGGAGGAGGAGGAGCTCCCAGACTTCCTTGCAACGCTGCCTCAGTACATAGCCGTTCCCACTACGTACGCCTTACAGCGCATCAGCCCCAGCTGCTGCCAAGTAGTTAATACATCTCCACTGTTGGTTTCATCCCAATAACTGTTGTCATTTCATTTGTGTTGATCGTCGCCCCCCCCCCCCACGAACAGGTGAGCGCAGACTCTATGCCCTGGCGGGTTCACAATATTGTTATTTTGTGTGTTTGCCTGTTTGCCCACCTGCTGCGCTCATCAAGCTTTCATGTGCTGGCCACAACGCCCAAAGCGGACAACTTTATCTCGACGTTCACGAGCGCTGCAGCTTTCCTGCGAAACGCTAACGTCCGCGCGGCGCAACAGGAGGATGACGGAGGAGGAGGAGGAGGACGAGGACGAAGGAGGGGGAGGGAGGAGGAGGAGCAGATCGGTTCGCAGGCGAACGGAGGATGAGGAGGCGAAAGGAAGGACACCGCCGCCCCCGCGCAGTTCCGCCCCGCCCGCATGCCCCGCTTGACCCGAAATTGATCACCTGGCCAGGGCCACTTCGTTCTGACCACCCAACCTGCGAGACGCCAGTTAATCTTCCAAGGGGGAAGATGTAACGCATGCAAGAGTCGACACGCGCCGTTGCCAACTCAGGCGGCACTGGCTTCTTGCCTTAGGGGAGTGGTGCTGAATTGCATTATTTTGCCTGTTGCCCCTCCCGCCCACGTCCCAGATCAACGGTTGTGCAATGCGTGCTGGCGCGTGCCAGAAAATGCCGGTACGAGTGCACATATACATGCATGTGGCCATGGCCGAGACTATCGGCAGATCTCCACCGTGTGTCGGGTCGAATGAGCGGGACAGGGTACGAACTTTGTTGCGTGCAGTTGGTTTCCGCTCCCCACCTCCAGGCGTCTCTGGTGCCGAGCCAAGAAATCAGTGCGGACTTCGGACATGTGTTCCTTCCATGGAAGTGCGTGGGTGGCCCGGAGGGATGCCGTGCCACAGGCAAGTATAAGCTCGTTGATTACTACAAGAGGAATGTGGGGACGTTCTCGGAAGAGGCACGGTATGCGTTTGGCCTCTTATCTTGGCACTGCTTCTCCGTACATTCTCCGTTTCGATTTCTTGCCGTCATTGCTACGTCCATTCCGTATTTCTTCCGCAGTGTCGTTGTTCCCAGAAACATCATGTTCGTTGTCCTGTTTTCTTGATGTGTTTGGATCCTGCGGGTCATATTCCCTCCGCATATTCCCTTCACTGCCACAAGCCAAACCGAGCCCAGAAATTCGATTAAGCAGATTATCAGCCTATTCTTGAAGAACGTCTGTGCGGACGCATTATGTTGTCGTGAGCGCATATCTAATGACCGTGCAGGTGTGTACCAGACGGGCGAAATAGTTTCCACATAATGGAGCGTGCTTCTTGTTTGCTTGGAGCATAACGGGCGTTATAGCCCCCGCCCCCCACCCCATGACGTGCCCCCCTCAGTGCGCTCCAGGCATTGCCGTCGTGGGCATCGGGATCCGCACAGGCGTCCGCACAGGAATCCGCATAGAAGTCTGGTCCGCTGTCGTCGTCGTCGTCGTCGTCGTCGTCGTCGTCGTCGTCGTCGTGGTCATCGTCGTTGTCGCTCGTCGCTCGTCGTCGCTCGTCGCTCATTGTCGTCGTGCGCGCGGGCGCGGCTGGAGCTTGTTTTTTTTATTCCGGGCCGATGACGGCCGTCATCTGGAGGGGGGAAGGCGCTGATGAGGTCACGTTTCGCGCTGGCGGCGTCTGGGAATGCTTAGGAATTGCCGGAAACGGGTAGCTGCAGCATGTCGGTGGCGATTTGCACCACAGCACCTGCGTACACCACAGTGCCTGCGTGCACCATAGCGCCTGTGTACACCACACCGCCTATGTACACCACAGCAGCCGCGTGCAACACAGCGCCAGTGTGTGCCACACTGTCTGCGGGCACCACAGCGCATGTGTACACCACAACGCCTGCGTACACCACATCAACCTGCGCAACGCAGCACCAGAGTACACCACAATGCCTGCGTGCACCACAGCGCCTGTGTACACCACGGCGCCTGTGTGCACCACAGCAACAACCATGTGCAACGGAGCACCACTGCTGCATATAGAATTTAGAATATGACAAAATGGAGCGTTCGTGGATTCCACAGGAAACATTTTTTCAATAGCATTTGGAATGTAAGCCTTAGAACACAGGGGCGCCGCTGGAATCTACGAGTCCTCCCCAGTCCGCCCGCATCCTAACTTTTTCCATCTGCGTCCAGGAGGCTCCAGCAGGAATGGCCGTTTGAAAACCAAGTGGAGTGATTCAGTCGACCATTCTGCGGTGCACGCTGAGACGCGCAGTTGCGCTGTAGCGCCGACCCGCGCGACAGGAAGGGCCAGGGACGAGGAGGAGGAGAAGGCATTGGAAGTGGAGGAGGAGGGAAAGGGGAATAGCGTCGCATCATTTTATCAGAATGTCCTTGGCGTGCCGTTTAGCTGTCTGCAACATATTCTCACCTTCATGCTCCCACCTGTATTGTGCGCGCAGGCATTGTGGTGTACACCAGCGCTGCGTTGCACGCGGACGTTGTGGTGTAGACAGGCGCCGTGATGTGCGCAGGCGCCGCCGTGCACGCAATCATTGTTGTGTACACAGGCGTTGTGTTGCGCACGGTTGCTGCGGTGCACACATTCGCTGTGGTGTACACCGGCGATGTGGTGCACGCAAACACTGCGGTGTACACAGGCGCTGCGTTGTACTCGAGTGTTGCGGTGTACGCAGGCGCTGTGGTGTACACTGGCGCTGCGTTGCACGCGGCTGCTGTGGTGTACACAGGCGCTGTGGGGCAAATCGCCGCCCACATGCTGCTCATAGTTGGCCCCGGTCATCCTTAGGCATTCCTGGACGCCGCCGGCGCAGAACGTGACGTCATCTGGGGCAGGGGGCGGCGCCGATGACGGCTGTTATTTCGAAAAAAAACGAAAAACGGGCTGTTGTGGTGCTGGAGCCACACGGCAGGGGGGGAGCGTTACGTTATGCCCCCCCCTGCCCCCTCCCTCCTTATGAGGCCCGTTATCGCCAAAAATCAAGGAACGCGCTCATGATGCATGCGAGTGGCCGTCATGGCCAGTTTTCGGAATGATCGGTTTGCCGTGATTGAGCAGCGCAGTGGGAGTTACAATGCGACAGCTAATCAGGCGCGTCTTCGCTCGCTTTATACAAGGTTGTGCGAGGAGGTATTTACCCGGGGAATTTCAGCCGTTAGACGAGATTAGACGAGGTATAATTCAATACTCAGTTTGCTGCGGTATGTCCCGCCACCGTGGATGGTTCAACCCAGCTCTCTGGGTGGCGATTGGTCGAAGAGCGCGCAGGATGCCGGAACGTGACACCTCGTGCCTCGATCTTTGAGATAGTTGTAGGATGTGTAGCGTTATTCCGCGTCGTCCAGGGGTGTCTCTCCTCATGTTCGTCGTTGTTATCCTGCCTTCCTTCCTCCTTGTTCTTTCTCTCATGGGCCTTTTGGGATACTTATTGATTGGGCCTGGGGGTGGCGTTTTGGGGGTCTCTCGGAGGCTTTTTAGCGTGGGCCGTCTTAAGGCGTTCTTGGGCTGTCTTGCGCCGTTGCAGTCCGTCATCGGAGTCTCTCTGGGCCGTCTTGGGGCCCTCTTGGGGCCCTGAAGGGCTGTCTTGGGGTTTCGTGGGCTGTCTCGGGGCCTCTGTGGGCCGAATTGGAAGCCTCCTGGGCAATCTTCAGGGCCTTTTGGGCTGTCTTGAGGCCTTCTAGGGACCTTCTTGGGGGCCCCTTGAGCTGCCTTGGGTCATCTTGAGAGCCCCTTAGACCGTCTTGGGCGGACGGAAGTCCGAAAAAGGTGGAAAGCACCGAAACCATTGTTTAAACACATCAGCTTCTGGAGCATCAGGGATGTTGGCATCGTCGGGTCCTCCTGCCGTTTGGGGACTTTCTTGGGTTGCATTGAAGCCAGTTGGGTCTCTTGGGAGCCATGTTGGGCCGTCTTGGAGGCAGATGTGGTCATCTTAGCGGCACGCGTGGCCTACATCGGCCGTCTAGGATGCCATGTTGGGCATGTTGGACGCCACGGAGAGCGCCAGGGAGGCGTCGGGCCGCCCAGAAAGCTTCGGAAGGGGGGAATGCATGCGGCTGGGCGCCCCCGATAAGACTACAGAAAGCCTACCACACAGCACGTGGCATCCCATCAACCCACCCATTGGGCACGCTGGCGGATATTCGGGCATTCCGAGCGTGCATGCGACGATGTTGTGATTTGTCAGGCGTGCGGCGGTGCTTTGAGCGTTTCGACGCTGTCGTTAGTGCTTCTGCTGTCTGTTCGCCTGTCCTTGTTGACATCAAGAGTGCGCAGAGTGCTGACTGGGGGAGAGGACGGCAATGGAGGTATGGAGGTGGGGGACGGGGCTTGGGAGTGGAGGATGCGGTAGCGAGAAGAGAAGTGATAAGGGAGAGGGGGGAGGAGCGACGCACGCGTATGTAAGCCCTGCCTTCGCAAGGGTACCGAGGCCGATACCGTGCCTGCGCACTTGGTCCCATCGCACCCAGCACGCTATTTGTCATGGGTTACGCTTCAGGGCTACAATCGTCTTGTGGCAAGTCCGTGCCCGGCACAGCCGCCTCCCTTCCCTTGTCCCTCCGCATGCCCGTGGCGTCCCCTCCCTGCCCCCTCATGTGCTTTCCTGCTCCCCCTCCCCTTTCGCGCCCCTTCCTTGCTCCTCTCCCCTCCGCTTCTCCCCCTCTCCCCGTTTTCCCTATCATTCTCTTCTCCCCCCATTATCTCACATCATGCTCCTTCTCCTCGCCTCCCCTCTCTCCCCTCCTTCCTCCTGCTTCCTCTCCCCGCCCCCTCGCCCTCCCTCATGTTCTCCCCCCTCTTCGCCGCGGCGCCTTCTGACGGGATTCATCACCTTGCCCTTCAACCGATGTCACCCCAACATGCTTATACTATATGTGCATCGCCCCCTCCCCAGGGGCGACGCGCGCAACGAGAAATCTTATAGTATGTGTGTCGCGGCGGGCGCTTTCTGGCCACACCGCTCGGGAAACGATCTACTACAAGATGGTTATACTATATGTTCGGGTCGGACGCGAGCCTCCAAGGAGAACATGTAGTATTAGTATGTCTCTGTGCGTCCCATTCAAAGATAGAAAGGAGGGCAGGGGAACGTCAGATGGCGGGTCCGTGGAAGGCTGGAGTAAGCAGTGATTGTCTGTGTGAAAGGAAGATGTTGATGCTATTATAGTATGTTTGTTATTTTTTCTTGATGTTTGTTCATGTATTGTAGCCCCCCCCGCAAACGGAATGCAGGTGGAAATGTCTCACGCGAAGACTGTGTTCGGAAAATGTACGCCGAATGATGCGTTTGCGAACCTTCCCCGCATTAAATCAGTCGTACGCTTTCCAAAGAAAGGATTATGGCTGCATGTCCGTCGCGATTTGAGGCGATGTGTACTCCCACACAGAAGGTGTCTATGTGGAAATGTTGTATATCGAAGTTTTATACCGCCCTCCCGCAGAGCGGACTGTTTGGCTGTAAAGCCAACGCACGGAGTCTGTTTGAATACCCGCTTCATACTAGGAATTCGATCGCTAATCCTCCCCGTTGTACATACTATGCCGTTTGTTTGGAATTCCATTCAAAAGAGAACAGTATGTAAACATTAGTACATACTAGACGCTCCGCGTATCCCCACCAGCTTTACTTCGGCCGCCTGGCACACCTGCAGCTCCTGCAGTTTGCCTTCAGCCCCCGGCGCCGCTCAGCGTCCCTCGGTGGCAGCTTTGGCAGCCGTGAGTGCGCTCGCTGGATACTTAGGTTCCGCCCGTAGCCTGGGTCGATCCTTAACGCCGCCTGCGCCTTCGCTTGCGGCCGCGACCAAAAATCCCCACCAGCCCATCCAGAAACAATGTCCAGGCGAGTTGAGGTGATCAGGGAAGTGCGGGAGCAACGAGGTGGACGGCCGAACCGAGCGAAAGAGGAGGAGGAGAAGGAGGAGGCTGGATGGATGGATGAGGGAGTGGGGAGATGGACGGTGAATGTGATGATTATGAGGATGAGGAGGAAGAGAAGGAGGAGGAGGAGGAGGAGGAGGAAGGGTCCGTAGCCATTTTGGCTCAAGTCCGTAGAGTTTCTCTGGCTCAGGACTTGACCTCACTGGCGAGGGGGATTTGCGGCCCCCACCGTCCTCTCGCGCTGCCTTGTGCAGGCTTCCCCTTTTGTGAGCTCCTGTTGGAGCAATTTTGCAGGTTCAAGCTTTCATGGGAGGGACCAGTCGCGGCGGCGGTGATGTCTGGTGTTGCCCCAAGAAGAAGTGCGGTTTCAAGAACAACTTCGCTTTAAAGAAGTTTTGTTACATTTGTGGTGCTGAGCGTCCTCCTGTGCCTGCCACTCGCCCAGCCCCGCCTCCGCAAGGGGACTGGGCGCATGGGCCTCCGCGGCAGAAGGATGTCAAGCCCAAGATTCCGCAGCTCGACTCCTCTCAGCTTACCGTGTTCGTCAAGATGTCCGACGCGGACTTCGAGACCTCCAAGTCGCTCCTCGGCCCTTCGCAGAGGGCCAGGGTATCGGCTCAGCGGGCCTGGGCGGCTGGGGACCCCAAGGCGGTCGCCAGGCACGCCCAGATGGCTTATGATGAGGCCAAGCGGGAGGCGTTGCAAGTGCAGCAGAAGGTTGACAAGCTCGAGAGCCATGTGCAGGAGAAGTTTTTGGAGCTCGTGGCGCTCAAGGCCAAATCCGAGCAGGTCCAGGCGCATGAGCTCGCATGTGCAGCCAAGGCCACTGCCGCCTGGGCTGCTGCCAGCAGTGGTCCTGTGCGGGTTAGGCCTCCTGGTGGTGATCGTGCAGAAGTTCAGCCCGACGATCCTGCGTTCGCTTTGCTGCTGCAGCTCGAGGCCATGGACAAGAAGCTTGCATGCTCGCTTCGTTCTCTTCTTGCCACTCGTGATGGCATGCTGCGCCCTGCGGGAGATGGCAGTGAGGAGGCCGACAGTGACAGTGATGACGGCATGCGCGATGTGCCCGTATCTGAGCCGCAGGCCCTCGACGCTGCTGCCGCCGCCATAGCCGTCTTCGGAGGAGACGCGCTCGGTGCAGCAGGTTCGCCCTTCGCGCCAGGCGCTGCGCCTGCCACCCTTGTGCCGTCTGGAGGGGGGACGGCGACGGGGGGCGGGGGTAAAAGTGACTCGGCGCAAGGAGCAGCTGGCAGCCTGCATGCCTCAGCTCACTTCTCGTCCTTTTTGCAGCGTCTCACCACCGATGAAGGGTGGGACAAGTTCTTGCAGTCCAAGGGCTTGTCTCGCAAGCAGTGTGATAACATCGTCGGTGGGCTCAATGATGCTGCGCAGAAGAAGTTTAAGTGCACTCCTTTCGACGACCCGATCAGTACCCCTGCCGCTGCGGCCGATCGGCCTTCTGTTTAGCAGGAAGGTGCAGAAGGTTTGGTCGATCATCACCGCCAACGTTGGTGGGCAAGTCGGCCTGGACGCCTACCTGTCGGAGTCCATCGACAGTGACGTTCTTTTGCTGCAGGAGCCCCGCATGCTGCCCGCTGCCTCTCAGGCGCTTGAGTCCAAGATGCGTGCTGCGGGGTGGTCGGCTTCAGCTACGGCGGCGCTTCCCACAGCTGGCAACCCGCCTGGTGGGCTGGTTACGGCTACAGTTGCTCGCGTGGGGATTGCGCCGCTTGAGAGTTTCGACAGCCAGGTTGTGGCCGCTCGTGCAGCGGCGTTACATGTGGGTGGTATGTTGCGTGGCGGCTTCCTCATTGTCAATCTGTACTTGGTGCACTCCGTGGGCATGGATGAGCAGAACTGGGCGATCCTGTCGCGAGTGGGAGCTCGGCTCAAGGCGGCAGGCATGCCCTTCATTATCGGTGGTGACTGGACTTGCACTCCTAGTGATTTGGTTAAGACGTCTTGGGTGGACGCCCTCGACGCTGTCATCGTTGCGCCCACCGAGGGCACGTGCAGGCCCGCCATGCGCTGCATCGACTACTTCGTAGTGTCGCGCCAGATTGCAGGTCAGGCCAGGGCCGAAGTTGTTCAGAACGTTCCCATCTCTCCCCACCTTCCTGTTAGGCTCGTTTTGCCGTCTGTCGAGCCCCTGTGTAGCGTTCGCTTCGTGCAGATCCCTAAGAGGTTTCCCACTGAGTTGCCCATCGGGTGTCCTGGGCCCCCTCCTGAGGTTGACCCCTGGGACCACGTCGGGGAGCTCTGTTCGGACCCCGACCGCCCGATCCAGGATAAGTGGGACGCGTTTCTTAGGGCTGTTGAAGGTCAGCGGCTGTATTTGTTTCAGATTTCTGGGGGCCAGTGCGACGAGTATGTTGGGGGGGACAGGCCGCCCCAGGTTAAGTGGAAGACTCCGTCCGCCCCCAACCCACCCAGGTTTCCCAAGTTAACCCCTCTCGCCTGTTGGTGGCGCAAGGTTCAGAATGTCCTGGCTGATCTCAGTAGGTCGCCTACTGGCGCCCGAAGGTCGCAGCTCGTCGCGGCTGCTGGGCGACTTTCTCGCTTTCACCGTCTACCAGAGACGGCCGAGATCGCTGCTTGGACGGCGACGCTGAGGCAGGTTTTATTCCTCCCGATGGAGTCGGCGCGGTGCCTCGCCGACTTTGCGAGCCGCGAGGCGACGGGGCTCCAGCAGGCCTGCGCTCAGGCCAAGGAACGTGAATGGGGGAATTGGGTTGGCAAGCATTCGTCTGGGGGCGTGTCTGCGTTGTACAAGTTTTCGGCCCTGCCCATTCCCTTTCAGCCTGCCTCGCTCTGTCACGGCGCCCTTCGACCCTGCGCGTCGCTCGAGTCGATCGATGCTCTCGAAGAAGAGTGGAAGCGTTGGTGGCAAGTCGGAGTTGAGCACCAGCCCCTCAATTGGCCTGAGCTCGGGGAGCCCCCTCCGCGGCCCACTGTGGCCGAGCTCGTGCGAGCTCTCAAGTCTTTCAAGCCTTCGACGGGCACGGGGTTTGATCAGATCTCATCCCGCTCTCTTCTGCTGTTGCCGCCTGCTGCTCTCGAGGCTCTGTGTGATGTTGTGCGCCGCATCGAGCATAAGCGAGAGTGGCCCTGTATGTGGAATCGCATCGTGTTTATTCTCAAGAGGACGGGTGGTGTTAGACCTTTGGGGCTCTTGCATGTGTTGGCCAGGGTCCAGTGTCGCCTGAGACGTCCTCTCACCAGGAATTGGCAGGCCTCCAACTGCAGGGCTTTCTTTTGGAGCACCCATGGTAAGGCTTCTGGAAAGTGCGTTTGGATCCAGGCGGCCTGGTCGGAGCACTCCACCTACAAGGATCGTGCGCGTGCCACTCTTTTACTTGATTTAAAGAAGGCGTTTGAGTTGGTTCAGCATCATCACTTGTTGGCCGCTGCGGTGGCCACTAGCTTTCCCTTGTGGCAATTGTATCTCTTGGTCCAAATCTACCGCGCTCCGCGCATTCTCGATGTTGGGGGCGCGGTTGGGTCCCTGCTTTGTGTTGAGCAAACGATTGTGCCAGGATGTACTTTTGCCACTTGTATGCTGCAGTTGATTCTTTTAGGCCCTTTGGACGCAGTGCAGGCCGCCTGCCCTGCTGTGCAGCTGTCCGTCAACGTTGACGATTTTGGCCTCATGCGCTGGGGCACCGAGTCCCGCGTTGTCGGTGACATCGCCGCCGCAGGCCAGCACCTGTTGCAGCAGCTGCGCCAGGTCGACTTGAAGTTCGCTCTCGACAAGTCTCGCGTTCTGAGCAATTTCCCTAAGGTTCGCGCTTCCATTGCAGCCAAGTTGAAGAGCCTTCAACCCCTGCCTGTCAGGTCTGAGCGTAATCTCGGCGTGGACTACGGCTCTGGCAAGGTTGCTAGTCGCGGCACGGTTCGTGGGCGTGTCACTCGCATGCGGCCTAGGTTGGTCCGAATGGGTTTCCTCAAGGGCACCAAGCCTCGTCGCCGCGTGCTCGGGTGCATGGCTCGAGCTGCTCTTGAGTCTTCGGTCCTTTTCGGTGCGACCGTCATGGGGACTAATGGGCAGGAGTTGGAGGTTCTTCGAGGTGCAGCTGGCAAGTTGCAGGGCCACCGTCAGGATGGCAAGTCTCGGACCTTGAGCCTTCTCCTTTCCCCTGTTCCCCGATTGGACCCCATCTTCAGAGCCACTTGGTTGCCCGTTAAGTTTTACCTCCATGCCCTCTGGCATCGTTGGTTGCCCCATGAGGCTCTGGATTTCGGGCTCCGTGAAGCCCACAGGCATCTTTCTAGGTTGGCGCACCCGTGGTCTTCCATTAGGGGCCCCTTTTGCGCCCTGTGGGCCTCGCTCAGGCGTGTGGGTATCGTTGCTACTTCGTCCACTTCCTGGATCTGGCCTGATGGGGCCGACGTCAACCCGACGACCTACTGCCCCGTCACTGTTCAGGAGCTCGTGTTTCGTGTTGTGGAGGCCTGGCAGTATGGTAAGGTCGCGGAGCTTCTCGAGGTTGAGGACTTTGCCAATGGGCTGATCTTGGGACCCCTGAAGGCCCTCCTTGGCAGCAAGAGCAAGTTGTCGGCCCAGCAGCAGGGCCACCTGCGCAGCACGATCATCGGTGGGCAGTGGCCACAGAAGAGGCAGTGGGCAGCGGGCTATGACACGACTCCCTCATGTTTGCTCTGTCCTTTGCAGGAGGGGGCTCTGCTGCATAGGCACTGTTCTTGCTCGCGTTTAGTCAGTCTCGAGGGCAAGCCCAGCTTTTTAGCTGCAGCAGAGGCTGCTGCCACTACTTCAGTGCTGGCGTCGCTCTTCGCTGAGCGTTGTCTTGTGCCATTTCCATCTCTGAGTCGCCGTCCTCCTGGGTCTCCGATTTGTTGGGGGCTTGGAGGGCCCTCGGAGTTCACGGGAGATATTTGCGCTGATGTTTCTGTGTTCGAGGCTCAGTATCCCAGTCTGGCCAGTGCGGGCTGGGGGTGCGTTGCTTTGCATCAGGACCGTCAGGAAATTGTCTCGTTTTGTTCAGGACCGCTCTTGGACCCTCTGCAGTGCATCAATGCTGCCGAACTTGTTGCTGTCATCAATGTCCTGCGCTTCGCAATTCCTCCTGTGCGTATTTTCACGGATTCTGCCTTTGTGGCTGACGGTTTTCTTGAGCGTGGCCCAGAGGCTACCCGTGCTTGTGTTTCAGCGCATGCTCATCTCTGGAAGGAGTTCTGGAGGCTGGTGGATGACTGGGGCGGGGGGGTTGAGATAAGCAAGATAAAGGGTCACGCGACCCAGGTTGATGTGCTGATAGGGCGAGGCGCCTCTGCACGTCATCGCTATGGCAGTGCCAAGGCAGACGAGGCTGCCAAGAGCGCTGCTTCCTTTGCCAGGGTCCCTGAGGCGGCCGTCGCGCAGCTTCAGGCCCGCAGTAAAGTCTTGCACGCCTGGGGCTCCTGGATTGCGCTTCTTTCAGAGGGGCTCGAGGACTGTGGGCACCCCAAGAAGCATGCTCGTGGTTTGCCCCCAGTGCCCCGCTTGGTTCTCGTCAAAGATCCTGTGGCCACCGATCTGGTCAGTCGTGCCCTTGCCGCGCAGGCGAGCTGCTCGGGCAAGGTGCACGCCCTGGCCAAGTTCCAGCTTTCAGGTGGGCCACTAGTGGTCGGCTGCACGCGTTGCGCTTGCTCTGCTGTCACGAGGCTTTCTGGTTTAGCGAGCCCGTGCCCACCCGTGGTCACAGAGCACGCTCGCAAGATGTTGAAGAGGCTTGCGAAAGGCGAATTCAGACTCAGTGGCAAAGTCTATCGGGTTCTTACCTTGATCAGGCTCCCTGTCCTGGCGACCACGGCGGGTATCTAGGTTTTCTACACCCGTGGGCCTTCGCCTGGTCGAGGGAGCCGTGTCCGCCAGTGGGGCCGAAGGCGGTTGCAAGGTGCGCCTTCGGCCCTGCTTTCACTGCTGGTGGTGGACAGGCTCTGCCACCCCCAGGTTGTGCCGAGGAGGAGGAGGAAGGAGGAGCAGGAGGAGGAGGAGGGCCAGCGAAGGGGCCAGGGGTCTCTTGGATGCCTCTCGGAGCCTCTTGGGATACCTCTTGGGCGCTTCTCGGAGGCCTCTTGGGACATCTTGCGGGTCTCTCGGCGGTCCTGGGGGGCTCTTGGGCGTCTCGGGTGCCTCGGGGGGGCCTCTTGGGGCCGCTCGGGGTCCTCTTGGGGGCCTCCTGGGGGTCCTCTTGGGGCCATCTTGGGGTCATCTTGAGGCCATCTTGGGGCCTCTTAGGGCCTCCTGGGCGCCTCTTGGGGCCATCTTGGAGGAGATCGATCAAAGAAGGGGGAGCTTTAATCAGCCTCCCCCCTCGGGAGCTCCCAAAATCACATCTTCGGCCCCTCTTGGAGCGCTCTTGAGCGCTCTTGGGGCCGTCTTGGGGTTCTCTGGGCCTCTCTTGGGGCCCTCATGGGCCCTCTTGGGCCCTCTTGGAGCTGTCTGGAGGCCGCGGAAGGCCATCGGAAGCGAAAATGGCGAGAAGGCAGAATTCATTGAGTCGTCCTAGATGTTTGAAGGATTTTGGCTTCTTGGCGGCCTCCTGGGGAGGCTCCATGGCCGCTCGGAGCCATCTTGAAGCGGTCTTGGGGCCTCTTGGAGCATCTTGGGAGCCATCTTGACGCATCTTGGGGTATTTTGGGCAATCTTGGAGGTCATCTTGGGCCTCCCCGAAGGGGAAAAGGGAGTGGTCGAAGAGGAAACGCTCTAGACCACCTACGCCCAGAGGGCTGGTGGGATTTCGAAACCACTTCTCACGGAAGAGCTCAATGTGCAATTCTTTTCCCGCCGCTCATCTCTACCGTCGCGAGTCCCAGCTTCCTAGTCTTGTTTTTCGTGCAACTCGCAACACACAATACTTACAAAGTAGATATATGGGGGGGCAGGGATTCCCTCCATCCGCTTTTCTTCGCTCCTATCCCTGCACCCCTCGCTCTCCCCCCCGCCCCTTCCCCCCATCCCCTCCCTCCCCCATTCATTCCTCCATTGTCGCCTCCCTCCCCTCCCCCTCCGCCCGCTGTCTCCGGTCGGCCGCCCGTTGGCCAGGGACTGGAAAAAATGGTCGTGTTGTTGAGGGAGGCCTTCGCGGCTGACATACTGGAGGGCCCCAGAAAAGGTTGAGGCAGAGAACCCTTCCTCCCCCTTTTCAATTGTCTCCGTCCTCCTCATCTTCTTCCTCCTCTTTCTCCTCCTATTCCCCTTCCTCCCCGTCATCAGGCCCTCCTCCTCCCCCCCAATTCCATATCCCCTCGTCCTCCCCACACCCCACATCCGATTTTCATCCCCCCTCTTCCTGCTCCGCCTGCTCCTGTTCCTCCTTGCTATCACTGGTAGCCCTCTTCCTTCTCCCACTAATGTTAATGTGTTTCTCTTCCCCCCCATCCACCTAATCTGCCCTGATCCTCTCTCATCCTCCCAATCTCATCTCATCCTTCTCTCCCTCTCTCCAATGACCAGCCCCTTCTCTTTCCCCCCCGACCTCCTCCCTTCATCTTCGGGTTGGGTGGGAAACGGGGATCGGGGCGAGGGATTGGAAGTCAAGGCCGATGAAAGACAGAGAAGCTGGGAAAACGGGATCTATTTGTTTTCCGTTGATAATCGGGATGCGCAGCAAGGGGGCCCAAATAGGTATCACAGCTGGTTCGGGAAAATGTTCCAGAAGTGTTTCATTGGGGCCCAAAAGAGAACCTCAACCTGCATTAAGAAAGGGGGGGGCAATGGTGCTTATTGTCTGGGGGAGGGCTTGGCCAATCTTGAGGCACCGGGGCAAGGAGCAGATCCAGGAACATGTTTTCGTTTGACATTATTACGCAGGCGATCGCAAACATGGATTAAGGGGGCGTGGATTAACGACGGGTCCCTGTTCCACGGGAAACCGCGGATTTCTGCCGCCGAACGAGGTGGCACCGGCCGCATTTCGGGGAGGGCACCTCCCCCGATCCATGGATTTGGCGACCGCGCGCCAAATCCATGGATCGCTAATCCATGTTTGCGCGCCCCCGAAATTACCTCCTCCGCTTCTGATGTCGCCGCCCCCCTTCTCCTGGAGCATCCTTCTCGTGCGCTGCCTCTCGCCCCCTCCCTGGCGAGCACGCTTGGAAACATGGCGGGACGTCTGTTCTCTGCCTCCTCCTTCGTCCCTCCCTCGTGTTATGATGTTCCAACCTACTTCAGCCTTGATCACCAGCAAGAATTTCGAGCATCAGAAAAGTACCGAAACTCGAGGGTTTTCACGTGTCGGGCCCTGGGAGACACTCGCCCGACACTGTTTCGACACTCTTTCAACACTTTTCCTGGTGCTCGAGATTATTTCTGGGATGTGGTCCCTTAAGCACGATGGGAGCAACATAACCCCCGTGGTCATCCAAGCCCCTTTCTTCCCTCCACTTGGTTCTCTCTGTCTCTCCCTCTCTCTTTCTGTCCCTGTGCCTCCCTTCCCCCTCCTGGCTGGGCTCTCTGCCTCGATGCTCCCCTCTGGAGCCCTCCGGACCGTCGCGAAGTGGGGCCGGCGAAGGAAGTGGTGGCAGGCGCCTCCGTTGCGGGGCCCGCGGGCGCTCCATGTCGAAGCCTCCCAAGAGGGGCCTTTGAGTCAAAGCATCCCCGTCGGGGCACGGATGGGGGCCTCCGGGGGGCCCCGATGGGGCCTCTAGGAGGCCCCTGGGGGCCCCCAAGCCCCTCTAGGAGGCCCCTGGGGGCGCCCCATCCCGGCCGCGGAGGATAATGACGATGACGATGACGATGATGATGACGATGACGATGAAGATGACGATGATGATGATGATGGTGATGATGGTGACGATGATGATGATGGTGATGATGGTGATGATGATGATGATGATGGTGGTGATGATGATTATGGTGGTGATGATTGATGATGATGCTGATGATTGATGATGCTGATGATGATGATGCTGATGATGATGAGGATGGTGATGACGATGACGATGATGAGGATGATGATGATGATGATGATGATGATGATGATGATCCTGATGCTGATGCTGATGCTGATGCTGGTGATGATGGTGGTGGTGCTGGTGATGATGATGCTGATGATGATGACAAGGAGGAGGAGGAGAATGATGATGAGGATGAGGACGAGGATGAGCATGAGGATGGGGATGCTGATGGTGATGATGATGAGGGCGGTGGTGGTGGTGGTGGTGGTGGTGATGGTAAGAATGATGATGGTGATGATGATGATGCTGATGATTATGATGGTGATGACTAGGCTGACTATGATGTTGTTGTGGATGCCGATGATGATGATCGTGATAATGATGATGCTGGTGGTGGTCGTGATGATGATGGTGATGGTGATGGTGGTGGTGATGGTGGTAGTGGTGGTGATGAGGATGATGCTGATAATTCTGCTGCTGATGCTCATGATGACGTTGGTGGTGGGGGTGATGATGATGGTGCCAATTTTGATGGTGGTGGTGATGATGGTCATGGTGATGGTGATGGTGATGGTGGTGATGATGATTCTGATGATGATACCGATGATGAGGATGCTGATGGTGATGGCAATGGTGATCATGATGATGATGGTGATGCTGCTGATGCTGATGATGCTGACGATGAGGAGGAGGATTTTGATGATGGTGATGATGACGCTGATGATGAGGAGGATGACGATGAGGTGGAGGAGGGTGATACTAATGATGATGAGGAGGATGAGGATGAGGATGGGGATGAGGATGATGCTATTGATGCTGATGATGATGCTGGTGCTGCTGATGACGACGATGGTGATGGCGGTGACGACTGATGCCGATACGATTACGAAGATGAGGTAGAGGAGGATGAGGATGATCATGCTGGTGATGGTGATGGTGACGATGCTGATGATGATGATGGCCATGTTCATGTTCATGGTCAGGAAGAAGAAGAAGATGGTGAAAGTGAAGAACCCGAACTCTGGAGCAACCTTACCATAAGAAGAATTAGCCACCTGAGACCCGAAACTCACCAGAAGGTTCGTGGTCGAGTGGATGTAGCCGTGTGCTGGGGCACGGACCCATGATGACCAGCGCCATAGCTACAGCAGCGGTCAGCATGGCGGCACGTGTCGAAGGCGTCGGCGAGCAGCTGAAGGTAGCCCAGCCCGACTTCGCCAGCACCCGCGGTGCAGTGTTCCACCAATCCGATGGCAGTCCATATGTGTGGGCGATGCTCGCCCGGTCGTAGAGTTAGCGAGGGCACTCGGCCCAGGAGAGTCGGAAGTTGGGCGACGGTTGCCCACAGTGCAAGCAGCCTTTCCCAGAACATCGTCGGGCCTCCGACGACACCGTGCCCGATCGGTAGATGCACACGATCTCCTTGTCGGTGGCGGAGAGCTTGCTGAAGGAATCGCTCGTAGATCTGGCTCGACTCGGCATCCACGTCCACGTCCAGGATGTCCTCCGCTTCGAACCGCTTGTCATTGACCTCAAACCGGACCCGAGCCACACAGCGTAGGAGGTGTTCGGTCTTCTTCTCATGGCGTGGATGTCCAGGCCTATGGGTCCAAAACCGCCGTTGGGCGTCGACTACAGGCTCCAGCAACTTCCACACACGGTGGTCATCATCAGCACTAACTTCGAGTCGGCACCCGCGTTGATCAGCTTAGGAGAAAACTGAGCCCCAGTACTTGGGCATGCGTGGACATGGAGTGCTCCAGGAAAGTCGTCCAGGCAAGGCGCTCCTGCGCAATCACTTTGAACGCCTGCAGCGCACCAGACAGGCGAGGATGGAGGTGAACGTGTTGCGCCCACCGGCGGCCATAGCACCACCACGTTGAGGAGCTTCTCGTCACTGACTTGAACAAGGCCCTGCACGTCGTGGTCGGTGGTGGCGCCAGTAGTGGACATGCCCACGGCCACAGTGGGCGAATATAAGAAACTGCAAGACGCGTTCTGACATCAGATCCACCTGGGACCGTGCCGAGGACTCGAATCGCTGTGTGCACCTTGTCCCAGCCTCCTCTCGGCAGGATGGGTGTGTGAGAGTCGGCGGGCGTGGTCACGATCCAGGTGCTCGATCACAGTCGGAGGGAAGTCCGTTCTCGCCCACCTCTGCGTCTTCTTGCCATTCTCCTTGAATCCGACATCGTGGTCAAAGCGTTGCGTATAGTCCAGATCCGCCTCCAGCGCCTGCACCGAGGGGCACGTGAGGGATCTGTCGTCCATGAAAGCCTTGCCCTGTGTGGGCTGCCACGGTGCCAATGTGGCGATCATGGTGGCAGGCGCCACCGAGTCTCCTTGTGGACGACCGCGCGTCGGCCAGATCGGCTCCGCCAGGGCCGAGCTGACACAACAGTATCGGGGGGCCCTCCAGGCCGCATAACAGCAGCTGGCGCCCCCGAGCATGTACAGGATTGTGCACCCACAGCATGATCAATGAAGTCGTACGCGATGCTCAAGCTTATCTCGGCACCTGCCTCTGCAGATTCGCAGTCCAACAGCCAACTACTGATCGCATGATAGCGATGATGATGATGATGATGATGATGATGATGATGATGATGATGGTGGTGGTGGTGGTGGTGGTGGTGGTGGTGGTGATGATGATGATGATGATGCGTGTGATTGTGTTGGTGATGATGATGATGATGATAATGATGATGATGACGATGCTACTGGTGGTGATTGACATGGTGATGCTGGTGGTGAGGATGGTGGTGGTGATGATGGTGAGGATGGTGATGCTGATGATGAGGATGTTCCCGACGCCGAGGATGACGCTCATTGCGATTATGCTGATACTGATGATGTTGATGCTGATGACGTTGATGATGACAACGCAGGTGACGAGGACGATGATGATTGTGATGATGACGATGATGATGATGATACAGATGGTGAGGGTGAGGATGTTGATGGTGATGACTATGGTGATCATGATGATGATGGTGGTGCTGATGTTGATGCTGATGTTGATGATGCTGATGATGTTGAGGATGGGAATGAAGATGATGATGCTGGTGATGATGATGATGTTGATGATGCTTGGGAGGAGGATGATATAGAGGATTGCTGATGGGGCTGATGATGATGATGTTGCTGATCATGAGGATGGGGATGCTGATGCTGATGCTGATACTGGTGCTGCGGATGATGACGCCGATGCTGATGACGATGGCGATAACGATGACGAGGATGATGCTGAGAAGGAGGAGGAGGAGGATGATCGGAATTGTGGTGATGATGCTGAGGATGCTGGTGATGGTGACAGTCGTGTTTATGGTCATGGTCATGATGATGAGTGTCATGATGATGACGATGATGATGCTGATATTCATGATGATGCTGATGCTGCTGCTGATGATGATGACGGCGACGATGATGATGATGACCATGCTGGTTCTGGTAATGATGATGCTGGTTGTACAGGAGATGGTGATGCTGGTGATGCTGACGGTGGTGGTGATGATGGTGACTATGGCGGTGGTGATGATGACAATCAGGCTGGTTGTGGCCACGATGCTGAGGATGGCGATGATGGCGATGATGATGATGATGCTGCTGCTGCTGATGATAGCATGCTGATGATGATGCTGATGATGATGATGCTAGCTATGATGGTGCTGGTGATGACGACGATGATGCTGCTGACGATGAGGATAATTACTGATGATGATGATGATGATGCTGGTGATGTTGATGATGGCAACGGGGATGGCGATGACGATGATGATGATGGTGATGACGATGATGATGGCGATGACAGTGACGATGATGCTGATGATGATGATGGTGGTACAGATGTAGGATGAGAATGGTGATGGTGATGACTATGGGGATGATGATGATGATGAGGGTGATGAGCGTGGTGCTGATGTTGATGCTGATGCTGCTGATGCTGATGATGATGGTGATGCTGAGGGTCGGGATGGTGATGATGATGATGCTGATGATGCTGATGATGATGCTCGGGAGCAGGATGATGTTGAGGATAACGGTGCTGATGCTGATGATGAGGATCGGGATGCTGATGCTGATGCTGATGCTGATGTTGGTGCTGCGGATGATGACGATTATGATGATGGTGATGCCGCTGGCGATGACGAGGATTAGGATGAGGACGAGGAGGAGGATCGGAATGGTGGTGATGATGACGATGATGTTGATGGTGACGGTCATGTTCATGGTCATGGTCACGATGACGCTTGTGATGGTGATGGTGATGATGCTGATTATGATGATGATGATCATGACGATGATGATGATGATGATGCTGCTGCTGCTGCTGCTGATTATGATGATGATCATGATCATGATCATGATCATGATGGTGCTGGTAACGATGACGCTGGTAGTAAAGGAAAACGGAGATGGTGATGCTGGTGGTGATGATGGTGGTGGTGATGGTGGTGACGATGGTGGTGGTGATGATGATACTGATGATGGTTGTGATGAGGATGCTTGGAATGATAAGGATGGCGATGATGAGGATGAAGATGGTGATGACCATGATGATGACGATGATGATGATCATGATGCTAGTTATGATGGTTATGGTGATGATGATGATGATGCTGATGCTG